AACTGATGTATATTTCGAAACTGACCCAAGAGGACGTCCAGTATTGTGTAGTAATGAGATGGATGTATCTGATGATGTATTCACCAACACTAGTGTGAGCTGAATAGTTAAACCTATCACGTGCTCAATAGAAGCTTATCCTCCAATTAACCATATTGCTGGTAATAATCATATCTCTTTATATGGCGACTTTAGCATGGCGGAAGATGGTTGTTTTAAGTACGCGGGTTTAAATCCCGCCCATACGAAACTATTCAACTTTGTGGTAATACCGTGAATTTAAAGTTCGGCGCTCATTTTTATCTGTAGACCCCTCCTACAGGGAATAAAATGAGATTGGCTGCAAACTCTAGAATATAGTGCGGTTTCGGGTCGTGTACATAGGTTGCTTTACGAGTTTCATAATAACGCTATAAACTTATATACAGGGTGATTGATATAAGTGTGCCAGCCGTTTTATTCGAAAACTATTAGAAATTTCACAACTTAAACCATTATTTATCTTTGAAACGGTTAGGTTTATGAAAGAAATCACAAGAATAAAATCGTCTTAAAATTACATTTTCTACCGGAATACATCATAAAATACAGGGTGTTCCATAAGAAAAATCAAAGTTGGCGGCCATATTGGAAAAATGGCGGCTAAAATATTTTTTTCGGCTCGACTACAATTTTGTAAATAAAAAATCCAAGGAACTTACCATTTAACTTTTTTGATATCTCTTATGGTTTTCGAATAAAACGGCTGGCACACTTATATCAATCACCCTGTATACATTCACCTGCATACTATTGTATTTGGATACTGACTAATCATCGTAGTGCAAAAACTAGAAATTTCAAGAGTGTAACATTAACTTACACGAAATGGATAGAATCACACATTAAAATTGAACAGCTTAACCACAAGGAAAATAATTATAAAATACTGAAACACGCTTTCTCCTGTTAGCTTTCCAATAACCCTCATGGGTAAGTGGTGGGAGTAAATTTGAAATTTTATGGGAAAATTCACAATAGTTTCAATAACTTTTGGTCCGTAATCTTTACAGCAATAGAGGTAATAAACTGTAAAATTTTGATGAAGACAATACTTTCTCAAAAAGCATTTGTAATGTACTGTCAGAGAACACCTTATTCATTCCAAAATGTAAATCAGTTCGTTTGATCTTTAAAGGATTTTTTACTCTTGATTATCGGTTCACTTACGTTATTGCCGGACGATTGGTCCAAATGAAGTGCATCTCTGTCAAATTCATCCTATGTGTAATCCGTCAGGTCGCTGACAAACGTCACACCTTAATCCTGTAATCAGCCAATGGCGGCGCTCATCAACTCTAAAGCACCAATCATATCACGTTGTTGACGTTTTTAATTAATCAGCTGTTTTGCTGTTGGGCTGACTTGATTCTTGAAAAATTATGGTTTGATTGAATATGTAGCTCTGAAAAATTAAAACCTTATTTTGTAGTTATTGATTTACGTGTTTCACAACGGGTTGATGTCTCACAATTGAATAATATGGCCACCTATTACAATGATTACAGAAACAAAACCTAATTGCAACCCATGTTTCGTAAAATTGTCTTTGGTTTTATTCGGGTAGAAGAGAGGCGGAATAAAACGTATTACTTTAATTGCAAAGTATATTGCATGATTCAGGCCGATTTTCAGGTTTTTAAAGACCACAGGATGTCAATGTCCGCCCATCATCAATCCTTAATACACTTTAAAATCCACCTCCAAAAGAATGCTAGTCTCTTAAAATGAGTAAACAGTAATTAATTCTACTAACAATCACAGTAAAAAAATAAATTTTCTTGAATATGATAAAAACTATTTCTCACTGCTCCTGCGTTTATCTCGTAGAATGAATACTTGGGTCCACTATTTATATATATATATATATTTTTAAATATGAACAATTATTAATATTCGTCAAAATTATTGCGAAATTTGAATAATACTAAGTAGAATAATTCTTTCTCTCCCTAAAGTCTTAAGACGACATAAGTGAAGACAGCGATACAGGGTTTTCTTTTCTCTTTGTCGGTGAACTTGGTAATTGGAGCCCATGTAGTATTCATTGCCTGTCCTCAACAGATGAAGCCCAGGATTGTTACATTGTCGGATTTTGATACATTGTTCTATATCTGTACGATCTATCTATATATTAATAGGCAAGCATGTTTCTTTAAAACCTTTTTTCTCAGCTCGTGTGCATCGTAGGTAAAATCTACGCATACCGTTAGAAAGCTATTTGCCTCTAGGTGTGCAGAATCCCTTTATAAATTTAAATAGGCTCAAAGATAAGCACGAAAAATGAGTTTAAAAATTTGAAAAAAATAACATGGATCTTATGCGTTGCCATGGTGACGAAATAACAACGAAATATAAACAGAAAATCAAAACAAATGGAAGAAACTCCAATCACATGTTTTATTTACAGTGTGGGGTGAAAATAAATAAGTGAGTACAGTACATTAGATATTTTTGGTCGAATTTCGACCACTGGACGACCTCTCGTTTAAATTAATAATTGAGTTGATAACCTACACAACATAGGGTGTAAATGAAAATTAGTACCATTCCATACATTAGCCATACTTTATTTGTTAACATGGGTTCTACGTGTATTACTTTTTAAACATTCTAAATAAAGGTAATTTTTATAGAAAACCGTTGCCGGATTTGTACATTTGAATATTGTGACCTCAAGTTAAATTTTAATTAAGCCTTCCAGACTTATATAACATTTAACAATCGTACATCAAACTGTATATTGTATTACCGTGTCCTTTTCATTATTTTCAGATTATGACCAATTGACTGACTTGATTAGGTAGATTTACATAAACATGACGAGTTTCCTGTTTCTCTCAAACCCTACAACATGATAAAATTGTTGGGGAACTCCCAATCAATCAGGTGTGTCATGTTCCACAGTTGTCATGTGCACATTTCATGTTCACTTCGAGCTGTTTTACCGGGAAAACACAATTTGATTTATTTTAAAATAAAATACATTGTAAAGGTTGTACTTAATTGCCATTAGTTGTCAGAAATGTGGTTATTTTGAAAATTAAATATTTGAGGCGTTCTTAACGTAAACCAGTTTTATTTTCAACATTATACTATTAATGGTATATTAGCGTTAGGGAGGAAACATAAAAGGTTTTCTAGGAAAAGTCTCTTGGAAAAGTTTAACTTGGTTAAAGTCATTTTATAAATTCAGTTTTTACTAGGTTTATTAAGTGATTGACATAATGTAAATTCAAAATACATGTATACTACTAGGTTTTATGTATTAACCTTGTTGTACTCTCTCTAAGGTAAGTTTATTCAGTATATATTTAACGGGTACGGTAGAATGACAACAACAAGCTAATTGAAATAAATAACCTTTGTAAAGATTGCAAAATGGGCTCACATACATTGATTTTTTTGCAATACAGTACCATAACCTGTGAATCAGTTGCTAAATTTAAGACATAAACTTGATTTTTTTACCGTAATCGACTTTGAGGGGTATATTTTTTTTAAATGATAAAGACTTTATGTATGTAAATGCGTGATAAATACTTGTTATTATTTATCCAATAATAAATCTAAAATATAAATACTATATTTAATCTAAAATTGATTTTCTACGTTATTTACTTACTATTAAGTTACAAACGAATTACTCAGGTATATACATAGCTTTGAATGCTGGAATTTTAACGTCAAACCGTAGAAAGCACAAAGTTAAGGAAGCTCGGTAAATATGTAAAGGTTTGCGGCCGTTAACTTTTCTGTCAATTTGTCGACATTAGAATTATCAACCCTCCTTTTGAAATAGGTTTACTTTGCTAGTGAATTTCGGGGAAAATATGATAACTAAACAGTATAAATTATATTTCTTATGCGGTCACGTTGTTTTTTTAAAGAGTTCTGTTTGTTTTATTTTCCACTGAATTAAGAAAACTTAAGCTATCAGTTAAACCACAGACTAGTCCGGGGTTAAATTTTTGTAATAACTAATTAAATACTACCTGGTTTATTGTGGAGGTTTTTAAAGAGATTTAACTAATATCTACAGGGTTAGATCTTTTCGCTCAAAAGGTTTATTTCTTTTAATGTATATTTCACCCATAGTTAAATGACCAAACTAATCTTCCTTTTTTGATAGTTTTTGACCGCGGTTAATCATAACCCCTCCCATCTATTGGAATAAAACGTGTAGACGAAAATATTTTTACGAACGATCCCCTATTCGCCTAAACTTTACACGTATGTATTCGCGAACGTGAAATTTTATAATATTAACTACCAAAATATCAATTAGAAAATTACGATAACGATGCTTCGTCCGTTGCAAAGTTTTTAATAATTGGGTCCAGATTAAAAGTTGCGAGTCCAAACTCATAATTTGTGGGGCTTAGTTGCGCGGATAGCGGCATTAAACTGTAAGCGGCAATTAGTAAACTTGGCAACCTAAATTTGCACTATACTTTGGTTCCCCATTGGTTAAAAAATTGGTGTAATAAATTTTTCATATATGAAAGAAGCTATTGCACTAGTATTTTTTGGGACTACTGTACATTTTTATTGTTCTATTAGATAATTTGCCAGAGTTATCACTAATTTCTGCTTATAAGTGCAACTGATGCGTTCAATTTAATTTTAATTAAAATTCTTAAAAATGTGTAAATAAACATTTTCATACTATGCTGTTATATCAACTTAACCTCTTCCTTTGTTTTTAACACATTTGATTGATTTTCAAGTTGATGGACAAGATATATAAAATTCAGAAAATATTTTTAAAAATCTAGTCACTTTGGAAATTATCTTTGCTTGGATTTCTGTATCTACTTATCTACTGCATGCAATACCGTGATGTTTACAGAATAACTTATACTATTATCTATACTATTACTTCACCACCTATCTTGTGTATTGTTGCTACTTATATCTTTGTTGTTTTTATCTCGAAACTAATAAACTCTGTTTTTCAGGCGGGCTTCTATCGGAAGGTAAATAACATTGGTCCTATAGTGTTGCATGGTAGAAGGACATAAAATCCACCCCACTACCTTTTAGATGCATATTAATGTCTATCATGTCTTTACTCACATCTTTATGTTTTAGCTTCTACCGTAGATGTTCGCCATTTAATTTCACATGTTTTGTTTTGCATTATTGTAGAATCTGTGTTTCGCAGTTGTGTGTAGTGTATAGTAGACCACCATAGAAGTGAACCATAGACGCTTGAGCTTTGAGTGTTCAGCTTTATGTTTAAAAGTGATCGTGACTGTTATGCATTTTTTATTTTTGACACATATATTCTTAAGAACTATTAATGTTTATAAAACTTTTAAAACTGAATAATTATGTTTAAACATTCACAGCAATTTTTAGTTTTATTAGTTTATTTTGAAAATAAATAATTTGTTTTCAATACAAATTATAAACTATTTGAAAATTAAAAAAGTAAACATTGTAGAAAAAAAGCTAGCATAAATATAATACTGTAAAAAATCATACGAAATCAATTGAGCTTTTTAATTTTTAATTAGATTACTTGTTGGTATTATTGTTCGTTCACTTATCAAAATTTGTTAAAGTAATACTCTATTACATTTTCTTTGTCTAGCCCAAAATGGATGTAAATCTCGCTATATCAGTTTAGTGTTCTTACTGAACCTTGGAAACTATGTTTCAAGGATGCCTTTAAATATGTTAAAAACTATATTTCAGCTAATATTTCGTTTAACGTACGTAATTTATTCTTTTTCAACTAATTCAACTAGCATATACATTTAGTTAAATCTACTAAACTATATAATCCTTACAAGGAGTTAAATCTGTAATCGTTACATATTTTACAGTAACTCTTAACACGAGTTTACTAAACTTACGAAATAGCAATTGATCACAGAACAATCAGGTAATAAGCAATGAACTTGAGACTCAACTTGGCAGAGCGTCGGTGTATTCTGGTGCCAGCCGTTTCCATCTTAGTACCAGTCTCGTCCGGACCTTACTAACGTCATACTACTTGTGTCTCTGATAATGATGATCGTGTGCGATATAAGTTCTAATACAAAACATAATCAGTGCATAATGTGATACATCGTGTTTGAATTGTTAAATTGTGATTGGTATTTTATCGTGTTTTCCTCTAGGCAAGGTGGTAAGTGTTTGTGAGTTTATGGCTAACTGTTCTGCTAGTTAGCGCTGTGAGTGAATGAGTGTGTTAGTCCACACCATGACCCGTCATGCATTGGTGGATCAAGAGCTTCCATTCGGTAAGTGGTTTTGGACAAATGTTTTAAAATTTTAATTCCAAACAAGGACCGTTTGATGGAAATGAATGCATCTGAACTGATGTATTTAAATTTTTTTTATGATATTAGCCATGGTTTTACTGTGATCGTCTTAACTTGCTAACGCTTCAAAACAAAAGGGTTTCAACGATGCGACGTAAAAATTCTGATCTCGTCTTTAAGTACTTTTCTTGATAAATCTCTCGTATTTTAGGTTCCTTTGAATATATCTACACCTCTCTTGGTCATATATCAGGCTCTTTCGACTTACAGACAAAATTAGATGAAGTTTCCTAATCGTCGCGGAACTTTTGTTTTAGTAGTATGTGATACCACAAGAAAACAGAAGTAATTGTTTTGACGACGTTAACAATAAACTTTAAACAAATGATCGAGATGAATTGTTCTATGTATTGTTTCATACCAAGAACCTATATTGAAAAAGCTACGGTTGTGTTTACTTTTGGTTCGGATGCATTAAACACATTATTACTCGAGTTGTTTAAGAATTTGTCAAAAGGTTGATTACACAGATCAGGGAGTACTAAGTTTTTATTAGGCTAGTTGAAGTAACCATCAAACCTACCTGTTCAGAAATCATGTGTTTCATCAGTGAATCCAGCTTTGGTTTGAACCAAGTGTTTTAAAATAGTTATACCGTATGTGTAAATATTTTTTTTTAGTATGCTGATAACATAACTCTTAAATATAATTATCTCTTTTTATTTTATTTTATTTTTTGAGTTCTCAGCAAGGCATACTAAGGTTTTTTTTAGATTTTCTAAGCTATTTTTATACTACACATTTAGCAAAAATATACAGATAATGTGACTCAATGCTAAGTTGGCTCTGGAACTTAAGTTTTCCCAAATTGTTATGAAGTTGTTCAATATCCAAGAGTACTAGAAATTGAAATTGTACTAGCTCTGGTGATTTTTTACAATTATCACTACTCATTTTTAGCTTAATGATGTCAATTAACAGAAGAGCCGTAATGTCGGCAATGGTGCTGTGTAGTTTGTCAAAGTTGGCTACCCTGAATTCGTGACGTTCCCAGCTATTGCATAACATTACACTATTACACTCATTCGCTATTCGCTGGGTCAAGTTCAAGCAATATTCTCTTTTGATTTTATAATGCATTTATTAGGCGTAAAACCTAAAATTAATGTGGTAAATTATTAATTAAAGTTTATAATTTCTGTATTTCTACTAAATTTAACAAGATATAACTTTATTATTTATAAGTTTGTCAACATTTATTTTATTTATATTCTATTTGATTATTTAAAATATGTTGCAAACATGAAATACCCCTTTTTATAAAATATTTTATCGTTTATTCCCGATGGTTAAAGTTGTTTGTATGAAATGCTGATCGTGCTTAACATGAATATCTTCAACCCATGTAAACTTTGAATTATGCATGAATTTTAAAATAAAGCTTGTAGTTAAAGCCGTAGCAATACTTCATTCACAATACAATGCAATTTAATATCCTACGTTCGAATTCCAACAGAAATCAATTGTATTATTACCGGTTTTGTTAGGGCTATGAATTAACAGTGTTCACGAATGTCAATAACAACACAAGTGGAAAATAATTTTAAGGGCTGATTGATAAATGTAAACAATGTACAACATTATTGTTTTCTGATTTAGTTAGCTGAAATAATGGCGAAGTTTGGTATCGTTCATCACTTGGGTCAAAAGTATCTTATCAACCCTCGCTCATTATAAGACCACGGCTTCGCCTTGCCCGTTACAAAATTTAGCTCAAAAGAACAACGAACAAGCGAGTCAAATTTGACAGCCGTTCCAAGATTCAAATTTGCAAATTTAAGAAATAATAAATAATATTAATAGAGTTTTAATAGCCGCCATTTTTGACTCGAATGTTCGTTTGAGTTGTTACAGTTACATCATTGTATTCTGCTAATAAAGGCTTTTAATTTGATTTGCATATCACCAAATACAATTTTTCTTCTTGTCTCCTACCAGTCCGTCCCCCTGAAGAGGTAGCGCATCATTGAATAATGTTTTAAAATTGTTTGTATGCCCAATTTTACTTGATTGTTTTTTTTTTTACTCGATTCAAGTTTGGTAGTTTTATCTTTATAATTTTTTTTTAACATTTTACTGTCCTGATAAAAGAATCCTTATATATTTCCACCCTCTAGACAAGATTTAATTAAGCTATGAAATATACCATCATTCCGTTTACTTAGTTGCGGAAGTAATACAAAATAAATCAACCAGCATACTCTTTGTTTGGCATAGACTGTGCAATAGACTGTGGACTGAACGTTAGATCGCTTATACAACACACATGTGTCTGCTGTACACACTGTAGCCCTTTCGACCTTAATGGTTATTGTTTGTTAGTGCATTGCCCAGATACTCTAGTTGTATACGTGATTAGTCATACTAGTGGTTAGGTTGTCTTGCACCTCTTTAGTTAATAGCGTTATGCTATCATTGCTATGTATATTTTGTTATGTTTGGGTTTCATACATTTTAGTTACGATTTAAACAAGTCGCTGATAGGAGATGATATTATAAATGAATCAGCTCTTTTATTATTTGTGCTAATTTTATACTGTCATCTTTTCTTCTTCAGACCGATGGTTTTAAATTATTTTTGATAATATGTCTGATACTATATAATAGTGACCTCCTAATAATCTGTTTCATTTGTTTGTTTCCACCACTTATACTGAGCAAATGATGTGTAATAGAATTTTATGTACCGTAATTATTTCTTTCAAAACGGTTTAGGTTAATGTGTACATGACTAAACATATCCATTAGAACAAAACATTTATAACTATATTTTTTAAAATCAATAATTCTCCATGATTGCAGCTTAAACTTGTACATTTTACTACATTACAACTGTCGTTACAAAATAAATTTAACTAAAGTGAAGTACAACTGAATTAATAATGAAGTGTGGTGAGTTAAAAAATAGCACCTATTACATAACAGATGGTTAATGGAATTGCAATTTAAAGACCTTGAACACATAATGTACACAATGAGGCATCAAATGCTATTGAATTAGAAATAAGACGTCAATTTACATTATCAGGTCATATTCAATGTTCTGTCATTGTTATTTGTTTCTTTGTTGGTCTAGCTTTCTCATTTCTTTTGAGATTGGTGCTTTCAAACTAATAAATCCACAACTGATGCATTTCCTAAATTACTTTACCAATCCACTTGGTTTTGGTACTTTTTCGTCTAAAAATTTCACATAATGTGGGAAAGGTCGTGTTTTTCGAGCTGCACTAAACCAATGCTCTCTACCGTACACTAATCGGGCCATGTGCTAAATTTTTCCTCCGTTCTTGGCTTATTCCAGCAAGTTTTTCCCCCACGTTACGTCCGTTTTCTGTGTGTTCCACTTCTTTGTGGGTTGAAGCTCAGAGCTTCGTGGCAATTTTCATTGCATCCTTGTCTCAACATTCTGTATATCTACATGTATTCCCATATATTTTCATTCTTTCAACAGGGTTGATCTCGCTCTCTCCCAAGAACCCTATCTTGTAAATGCATTTTCATCGGTTTAAATATTCCAAGCTGAATTAAATTGGATTCAACTTTAAGGAGTTTGACACAATTTATTTTCTTTATATTTTAAAATAAAATCTGTTTATAACTGAAGATAACGACGTTAGATTTCTTCGGATGCAAATATATACATT